TTTAAATAAAAAGGAATTTATTTTACTCTGTCAATATTATAATATGAACTACACTTTCAATATTTTTTTACATTATTTCATACTGTGTGCATTTTGTAGCTTACTGCACATGAAAGTTTTCTATAAATCCATACAAATCATGTATATAATTCAAGCCACATTACACGTAAACCGTAGCAGTAATGTTTAATATTATTGTTTACATCAATTAAATATTCCTTTGTTCAAATGACACTTTGTAATATAGCATCGAAGCCAATTGACCTCTACGTTAACCCACATGTCGTTAATTTACGTTTGAAATACAAGAAATCATATCTAGCCCATGTGTGTCCACAGGTACAGTTCCCTTCCGCTGCTCCACTCCCCTTCCACGCGGCGTAACTGACAGAGAGAGAGAGAGAGAGAGTCGTCAGTCTACCGTAGAGCGTAGAGCAGAGCAGATCGTGGCATTTGCGCCGTCGTGAAACGCGCATACTAGCGGGACCATAGTGGGGACAGCTCTGGAGCAGATGTGCTGGCTCGTGGACATGCCTAGTGTAGTGTTTGTGTGTATATGTGTGTGTGCGTGTGTGTGTGTGTGTGTGCAGTGATATAATGAAAATATTAAATTTCAAACATAATACAAATTTGTGGATATTATAAATAATCCGGCAAATCAACAACCATTGTCAGTATTTAAATTAGAGTACCAGTATTTTAAAAATAATACAGATTTGTGTAGATTATAAAAAGTTTCTCAATAAATCAGCAATTACTGGGAATATCAGTAATTAAATTAGAGTGCTAGTATTCAAACGAAAATAATTACTTTGGGAACCATCGCTCGAAGAATACGAGGAAGAAATATATTTATTGGGTGAGTTGTGATTTTTGTACAATTTAAATGTTTAAGATTGTTTGTGTTTGTCACACAAACTTTCTCTGTCACATGTTGATATTAATTATTTCGTAATCTTTTAGAAGAGAACTTTTTTCTTGACGTGTGCCAAATATGATCATTCTTTGATATCGTCTTTTCGATTCAATTTCTTCTTATCTACGCAACTTGGTATATTAATTTTATGACTCGATTAAAAATATATACTGCTATACAGTGGAACCTCGATTATCGCAGGAATTTCTAGCCCCAATGTTTTGCAATAATCGAGGTTCTGAAGGAGAAGTGGGAACGTCACGAAAACTGTTCCTTTGTTTAACTTTTCTATTAACATTACAACTACAAAGTCAATTCAATGCATTTATTTTAGACTTCTTTATATAATTATTGAATTGTGACAACATTTTTGCTGCAATTTCCATTGAGAATTATTGAAGCAGGAAACTAGGTGTATACGTGTTAATCGATTCACCCCTCCACTCCCTAATTTCAAAGATATAGTAATATGCATACGAAGTATCAGCTGAGAGTTTTTAGTTTTACTGCAAATTAATCTGTCATTCCTCTCGAATTATATTGCTCCATTCTGACAAACAAATGAGCAATCACACATGTTTCTGTAAATACGTCTCGCCATCCCTCGACGTGAATTCGGCCAATTTTCGCAGTTTCTCACGATATTTCTTTAAATTTTGTCCACAATTCGCGAACGACCTTTTTTGCCGGACACGAGAAGAGAGAAAGGGTCCTCGTTTCGCCGTCTGCGAGCTCGCATCTTCTCCATCGGTCCCCTCCGTCCTTTCGTTTCCTTTCTCACTTGGTCCCCAGCACTGCTCGAAGCCCGGTGTAACAATGGCCGCCCTCTAATTATCGTAAGACCGCGGCACTTTAAAGAGATCTCCGAGAGCCCATCACTGGACCTCCGTTTCGTTCGCTCCTTAAAATTTCTTCCACTCTCCCGGGGCCCAATAATGGCGGCAACAAAAACAATAAACGCCACGATCGCGCCTCGTGGAAAATTGGTATCGCCTCGCGGGAGCACCTACCGCAACGTCGACCATCCACGCGAATTACGACCATCCTATCGCGAGATATAGTTCGAAAAACGGAGAGAAATTGGTAACATTGGCAAAATTTCTGACAGATAATTTTTGTTGTTCTACAATTATGATATATCATTTTATTTTATTTGCGGAAGATAATTCTTATCGATGTAAACTTGATGTCATAGTTGAATAACCAGTGCCCTTATTTAGTATCATCGTCGAATTGAAATTGAATCTCAAATGAAAGGTTAACGAGCTCTTAGTATTGCCTGTGTTTAATATTAAAAACCCGTGAATCTGAAATGAATATTTGAGAGTCTCGAATTAAAAATGAACGAATTTCTTGTACCTCTTGAGCTTAGTATTAAACATCCGTGAATCTCAATTGGATGTATGAGAGTCTCGAATGAAAGATTATTGAACTTCTTATACTGCTTGTATTTGATATTAAAAATTCGTGATGAAATTCAGTTTTGTAAAAATACCTTCACACCTGTCGATAGGATCACTCGAGGCCAAAGTGTTTTCCTAAGAAAATAGTGGCACTCACGTAAATTGTAGAGAGTCTGCCATTTCGTTGGTCCGACTGTAAGTGGCTCTAATTTGAAGTAGCATCTGTCTATCTCAATTTTGGAACGTTAGATTAGACGAGGCGATACTTCTAATTGCAGCAGAATTTCCAGAACGTGTATTTAGATCAAGATTTTAGATATAGATTGTGGGACATTAACGAAATGTCTTTGTAGTCGGGATCCTATCGTTCCATTTCGTCAAATATTATCAGAGAAAACAGAATTTAATCTATACAAATCAAAGACTATGGAACATCATGTGAATGAATTTTATTTGTAAAGGAAATAAGAATCAACTATTTCAAATAACATATAATTCTTTTAACCTTCTTTTTTGCTTTGCCTTGATATATGTATTTAAATCTTAAAGAAAAAATTCTTGAAAGTACGTACCCCCTCAGAAACATTTAATTTTCTTTACAGAATTGAAAACTGTTCTCTCCTTTGCCGTTTTATTATTTCAAATAAGAAATTATAAATGCTCACAATAATTCCATAAAACACAACGAGATTACGCTTTGAAATATAAAATAACGACGAAAGAAAAGGACACTGTTATCCAAAATAATATTTCAGATGTGTCCCAGTACCTCCAGATCATAAAATCTCATTCCTCTCCTATATCTTATCTACGATTCGCGCAGACGATCGGAAACCGATACTTCCTCCTTTGGTCGACGTTTCATTTGCTAGGTAATTACACGCAATCTCCGTTTGCCGTCTGAATTATTGAGCCCGTAGCCGCCGCAGGAACGCTTAAACGCGGCCGAGCAAACGGGAACCGCACCTGCAGCCGCGCGCGTAATTAAATTATCGTGTGTTTTCAGGAAAGCATCAATTAGCCATTAGGAATGGAACTTACCCGAGTAACAAGCGGCTGATCTCCCTCATTGCTCCGGAATCAAGGCAGCCACGAGTTTCTCATCGCTCAGCGAAAAAGTGTTCGTCACCGCGGCAACCGGTCCTCGTTCAGCCACGCAAAAGGGGTTCCACCTTCCAACGAAGACGACGTCCACAGGATGGATCACACGGCGGAGTAATTAGTGCGTCCCCGGTTTTCATAAATCATCCGTTCGATAAACCCGACGCTTTCTCCGCGCCGAAGAATGTCGTCGATCAAGGCGACCATGCCATTTTTCGGACGAGATCCTTACAAGGCTTTCGCAAACACACTATGGTGGCCTCAGGAAGTGTCCAAGGGTTGGAGATGTAGATGTAGATGAGAAATTGTGCTGGGAAGTTGAGTGATGTAGCTTGGAGAGACTTGGTTCTTGGGTGGATAGTTGGATAGTTCTTTGTTTCGAGTGTGGAAGAGTCACTGAGTAGGTGATGCTCTTTGAGGAAGTTTGAGCTTAGAAGAAATGAGTGCCTTTATCGAATCGTGATTTTAATTGAGTCGGTAGGATTAAGAATGAAGAAATCAGAATCCTGAACACCAGTTTCCTTCTTCTAGTAGTCTATAGAAGTTTCTTTATTTCTAGTGTGAAAGAGTCACTGAAGTAGGTGATGCACTTTGAGAAAGTTTGAGGTTTGAAGAAATAAGTGTCTTTATTTAAGTTTGTTTCAAGTACGATGGAGTTTAGGGAATTTTCAGTTTAAAACGAATGTGTACCTTTATTGAATCATGTCTAAAATTTAGTCGTAGAATTCGTAATTAAAGAAGCAGAGTCCTGAGCACCAGTTTTCTTCTAGTAGTCTATAGAATACACTGATTGTGAGATAATCCTTGAATACGAAGTTGATATTTAACATTTAACAAAGGGTCTATGGGATAGGAGTTTCTGTCTTTTAATAGCCTTGAAGATTCACCAAAAATTCGTCTTAGACGTTGAAAAAAGCCCCTCCATAAGGGGGTCCAATTCACCAAAACACCAATTCTTCCTTCTTATTCTCTTCAAACTACCCTCGAAACGTCACAGTACATCAAATCAACGTTACATCCATATCGTAGATTCACTTATACTTCACTTGCCTTCGAATTCCACGTTCCCCTTCAAAGTGTAAGTACTCAATACCTCACAAGAACATCTTGAACTCCAAACTGTCATCGATAAGATTTCAAAGACATCTATCTTACATCCATCGCTACATTTCATCAACAGATCCGCAAAACAAATTCTTCAAAATTTCCCTTTTTCTGACTAATTACCTCCTGTTTCAGGATCCTCTCGCCGAAGAACAACCCCCCAACACCGATGGACGTCGATGACAGCTGTTCCTTCGCCTCCATCTTCCGAATCGCATTTTCAAATAGAAAAGAGCCAACCAATTGCGTGACATTCACGTTCAACCCTTTTACGGTCCAGCTTTTCCGATTTCGGTACAGTTCTGTCGAGTCTCGTTCGAGGAAAGAGGGTTAACGCGCGAACAGTGAAAAGCAAGCAAAGTCCGACGCGTTAATTAATGTTCGGTTTATCCACGTTCCGGCTTCGGTTGATTAGCGAGCGAGCGTCGCGAAGATAAATCGCGCCGACTTTCCGTGTAACCGGTGGTTACAAGCCGACAGCCTGGCGATTACTACAATTTACCGAACTTCCTCTTCTCTTCTTTTGCCGGGCCGCTCCGAAAGGGGTAACAGGGAACGGACGAAAGTCCGCGGTTACACTTCTAGACGTCGAAGCGCCATGCAATCGTACGCTGCTTAACAGTTTCAGACTGTTCTCCGCGATATCATTATCTGGGCTCGAGCTACCTGTTCCCGGAATACCGTTTCGGTACCATTATTGCGCTTTCTTCCACCGTTTTCTTCGGAAATCCTTTATTTAGCACGCTTTACAACGGGGAACGCGCGGTACTCGAACTGCTTCTGCATCTTCTCATTCAATCATCCCAAAGTTCAAATTAAGTAACATGAGTATCTATCCTTCGTTACTAACACTGAATCTATCATAGCCAGTTATAGGACCGTTTTAAAATTTGTGTGTGTAATTGTTTGTATAGAATTATTTCATGCATTATTTAACCCTTTGCACTCGAATGTCCCCTATGAGGGGACATCGTAAGTCTAACAAATTTCGCTAGAAACACCATAAACGATTTATGTTCGTAGTGGTGCGACCGCTTCAAGAAAGGTAGAAAAATGTATAATCAAGTCTAATAATACCAAAAACGACACGTTTCCAAAGTTAGACTATTTTATGTAATGCGATTGCTGTTCGCATGTTTTGCAACGAGATAGCGCAGAGTGCAAAGGGTTGATTTAATACCGAGCGAAGTATTTTCGGATTCAATTGGAGAAAGTATCTTTAACACCAGTAATTCGTGTGTTTAGTGTAAACGAGATAATTGCAAACGTTCTATAGGAAGCTATTTATTTATTTAATTTACAAGAACTCTTGAATTTTCACTCTTGAATTTTCACTTTTCAATTTACTCTTTATTATTCAAACGTTAGTTATGTCTGTTCTCAGCGTCGAAATGACATGTGAAAGGCTCGTGTATGTGTATATATTTATTAAGTGCAGAAGTTATAGACTAAGCACTCCTTGTGAACTTGAACTTGACGAGGGCTCCAAAATATATTAACAAGGATAGGTGCCACCCAACTATGCAACACATTTACGCATTCAAAAACAAAGAATCGAAATACTAACACCCCACTATCAAAATCAAGCTCAGCCTTCAAAAGTTTAACTAGGATCTGTACTTAACACTTTATTCGCCAAGAGCCTATTTATAGGCTCTTTAATTCCAAGTGTCTAGCTTCTGGAATTTATTCACTGTGTTATTAATTGTCTACTAACAACGTTCAGTTTTTGGAAACAGACTCGACTTTCGATGTACCTAGCAACGGTACGTCGGAATTAACTCTCTTGCATCACATGGAAAAGTGGAAAATTCGCTGTTATCAGCAATGTTTTATTCGAATTCGATCGCCAAGTAAATAACGCGCATATATCGGCTAGTAATGCAAATGGGTTGACATCAGCCTAGATTAACACATTCGCGACCGCTGACGTGTATTCGCGTCAAATCAAATTCTGTTTCTGATTATGTAGATCTTTGTATTTTATACACTACATATTTACAACATCGATATTTCGAAACATATTTTGTCATTTTTATCTTCGCCCAAACGATGCGCATTCGCGGTGGTCCAGCTTCAGAATTTTATTTTCGTCAGTACTCGGTATTAGAAACGTAAAATATCTGCCGGTCGCGAATGAGTTAACATACACCGATATAAAAAAATTCTTATTCGAATCGCAGGCTCTAAATAGGCCCCGCAAATAAAGTGTTAGGAAAGCTGAAGGCTCACAAAATCACAAGCACATCCCTTCTCATCTACGTCACGTTTATTAAACCATTAAAATCAACCCGATTCACCGAAATTCCATCGTACAGTTCACTTGTATCACCCCCACTTCGATTTTTCGATTACTTCCACAGTTCTCAAGGTCAGTTCGCGTCGTAGAGTCGCGAGTCGCAGACGGAACCGTCGTTTATCGGTTAGATTCGCGCGGCGAAATTAAGGGCGACGAACGCATCGAGACGAGAGTTTTTCGGAGGAACGCATGATAATTGGGGCCCCAGGTTCCCAGCCACTGTTTCTTTGATAACAGGTTCTCCGGTTTCGGTGCACCGTTTCGCTGGGTTGCTCCGTATCGCGCATGCGTTCGTCCTTTCGTGGGGACGTCTCTTCTTTGAGAGGTCGTAAAGATAATGCCCACATCGCCAGCCAGCAAACAGACCGGAACGGAAAATTTATCCGTATCCTATTTGAATGAAGATCGTTCGCCGCGATTAATTAATCCGCCGCTGGATCAGACCTGGCCATCATGGGGGCCACCGAATCACCGTGGTTCCCCCCTCATTTCTCCCCTTTGCTATGTGTCCTTCCTCGTTGCGCCGACGAGCCACCAAAGGGGCATCTCTCGCTTTTAAATAATTAGTTCGGGTTAACGTGGTCTTGTTTATTTGCGCGATCGTTTATCGCTACCTCGCAAAAGGGAGTCGCGGAGTTTCGCGTTGAACGCGACGCGATTCAATTTTGCCAGGCAATTACCGACGATGGGGAGGGTTAAGCGTCTTTTTTTTTTTCTTTCTTTTTTTCTTTTTATTTTTTTACCGGTTTTATACCATCTGGAGGGTGAGGGTGAGATGGAGGAAATTTTGCCAACGTTTGGAGCGGTTATTATGCTTCTTAAGGTGATTGGTCAGGTCGATGGGTATTAACCTTCTTCGGATCTGGGATTTTAGAATTTACGGTGTTTTGCTGGCGATTTGGGAGCAAAAATGCACGGTGCGGGGATCTAATGATGAATTATTATGGTAATTTGTAGTACTCGAGTTTATTATTTCAATTTATAATTCGATTTATATTTAATTAAAATAATTGAGCAGATGAATTTAATTATAAATTGGAACAATAAAATTGAGTACTTCTAAAGTAGGACACAAAACACACGTTGCTAAGTCGTTTATTCGATCAATTATCTTGGTCACAGAATAAAATTAATTCATCGCAGATGTGGGTCCTGACGATGAGTAATTGTAGTAATTGTTGTGCTCAACTTTATTACTTCAATTTGTAATTTAACTTACAATTCAATTTTTAATTAACACGTTGACTGCCAGGCTAATAATAGTAATAGTAATTAGAAATGAAATAATGTAACGTTTATGGTAATATTTACCTTTGCAAAATCTTTAAAATTCATAAATCGTGTCCAGATCTATCTTCTTTAATGTTTCAGAATTAATTTATTTAATTCCTTAATGAACGTGTCGATCAAAATAATTGAAACAAGTGAAATACTTGATATAATTGAAATCGTTGTTCAATTATTTCAATTATAAATTGTCATAATAAAATTGACTGCGCCTAAAAAAAAGCACAGAATACGTGTCCATATTGATATAATTGAAATCGTTGTTCAATTATTTCAATTATAAATTGTCATAATAAAATTGACTGCGCCTAAAAGAAAGCACAGAATACGTGTCCATATTGATATAATTGAAATCGTTGTTCAATTATTTTAATTATAAATTGTCATAATATAATTGACTGCGCCTAAAAGAAAGCACAGAATACGTG